CCCAGATAGCAGCTGATGATCAGAAAAAACCATGGATCTGGATGGACAAATTACGACTTCATTACACTGGATCTATCGGAAGCTCCCTATTGGCGGACAGATTTAAATTCTGGAACACTCAGCAAAGCCCACACGAATCTGTTCAGGAATGGGAAGTTAAGGTCAGACAGGCGGGCAGCCTGTGCTCGTACAATGCACTGACCGACGAAATGTGCCGTGACAAATTCGTTTTTGGCTTGCACGATGGCACAATGAGAGCTGAGTTACTAAAAACGCATTTAAAGTCGGACAGAATGCCCAAGAACATGCAAGATGTCGTTGCCGAAGCCAAGGCCCTCAAGTCAGCCCAAAAAGCCAACAAACTCATAACAGACGCCACAAAAGGAATCGAGGAACAAGTTAATTGGATAAGCCACAAACAAATGAAACTAAAGCGGGAGCCTGGAACCTGCTTTTGGTGTGGAGACCGACGCGGACCTCACCCCTGGAAAACATGCCCTGCAAATGGCAAAACCTGCACTAAGTGTGGAATTAACGACCACTTCTCCAGAGTCTGTCTCGAGACAGGCGCCCCCCAACATGAACAACCAAGGAGAACTACCCAATGGCAAGCTCAGGGTAGGGGGCGAGGCCACAGAGCACCTCGCGGCCGGTCCCAACCAAAACCCCCTCGTGAACAAAACGTACATATGCTGCAGATGACAAATGACCAACACCCTGTGGAGTACTACACTGATGACTACCAAGAACAGTGCTCCTCCCTGGAAACACGGCAAATACACAGTATCCACACAACCCACGCAAAGAAAAAATACTTTGTTACACTGCCCATGTCTGCAACAGGGAACAAATTCACCCCAGTGACATTCCAAATAGACACCGCCGCCACCTGCAATACCTTGTCTGAAGATACCCTTTTCAGGCTGATGCCAAACATGAAGCTTAGAAAGTCACCCTACCTACTACACCCCTATGGTGACTCCCAGCCGCTGAAACCACTGGGGCAGATCGACCTTCTGTGCGAAAGAAACAAACGATACGAATCGCTCACATTCCAGATACTTCCTAGGGATGTCATGATGAACAAACCAGCCCTTCTCTCTGGCTCCGACTGCGAGGCACTGGGGCTCATCACCATCAGGGCACACGAAATATTCTCACTCACATCAGCAGTAAGAGACTCGTCAGGCAAGAGAGCCCCTACCTACCCAGCCAGCTCGCCACAAACCAATCCAGACCCAGGCGACCCAGCAGCTCAAGCCAACGGCACACTCAAGGGAGTAAAAGGCCGCCACCCTGACCAACCCGACAGTGCCAACCCATACGGTGACCCAGCAACGCCCTCACCTTCTAAACTTATAATGATCCCTTCCAAACGACGCCTGGCCCCACCCGGGAACCTCACCAAGGAAGACATACTAACACAGTATCCTGAAAACTTCTAAGGCCTTGGCTGCCTGGGACCCCCAGTTCATTTCGAAGTAAAAGCTGACGTCTCACCAGTACAAATGCCAATACATCGAGTCCCTGTGGCAAAACGCATGAAAGAAAAGGAAGCCCTTGACAGATACACCGCAGCTGGTATCATAAAGAAAGTAGAGGAACCCACCTCGTGGTGCTCCAATGAAGTCATTAAAGAGACACCAAAGAAGACAAGAATCTGCATTGACCCCAGTCAAACAGTCAATAAAGGAATTCTCAGACCAGTGTATCAAATGCCAACACTGTCTGAACAGCTCCATAAACTCTGCCATGCCAAATGTTTCTCACTTGTTGATGTCAGAGAAGGCTTTCTACACGTACCACTTGATGAAGAATCGTCACTGATGACGACAATGCACACGTCTTATGGGAGATACCGATGGCTCCGCCTCCCATTTGGCATATCAAGCGCTCCTGAGGAATTTCAAAAGCGCCTCATGTCAGCTCTAGAGGGTCTTGATGGAGTATTATGCATCGCCAATGATATACTTGTGTTCGGAGAAGGAACAACCTACCAAGAAGCTGAGAAAGACCACGACCGCCGTCTTGTCGCACTTATGGAGCGCTGCTCCAAAAAGAACATAAAATTAAACCAGAGCAAACTGCAGTTCAAGCTACAACAAGTCAAATTCATGGGCAAAGTCATAACTGATCGAGGAATGCAAGCAGACCCAGACAAGATAGCAGCAATCTCAGCAATGGCCCCACCCCGAAACAAAGCAGGTGTTCAGCAATTCGTGGGAATGGCCAACTATCTCTCACCCTATTGTCCAAACCTCAGCACCATCATCCGGCCTCTCACCCAACTCACCAAGTCAGATATCCCCTTTATGTGGGCACAAGCACAAGATGACGCATTTAACAAAGCCAAACACCTCATCTCCACTGCACCAGTGCTCCAATACTATGACCTCAGTAAACCGGTCACACTTCAAGTCGACGCTAGTGAAGAAGGCGTGGGCGGTGCCCTCCTTCAGCCCAATAGTGAAGGACGCCTCCAACCCGTAGCATACACATCAAACAGCCTCAACGCAACAGAACAACGATACTCCCAAATCGAAAAAGAGTGCTTGGCCATTTGTAACGCATTTGGAAAATTTGACCACTGGCTCTATGGCAAATCAGATATCGAAGTTCACACCGACCACCAGCCACTTGAGACCATCTGCAAAAAACCTCTGCACAAAGCCCCAGCACGGCTACAGAAAATGCTAATGAGACTGCAGAGATACCGCTTCACCATCCAATACAAGAAAGGAATCTCACTCTACCTGGCAGACACTCTCTCAAGAGCAGCACTACCTACCCCAGTACATGCCAGGGTCACAGGCTTTGAAGTATTCAGGACTGAACTCACAGAGGAATCCGATACCCACAACCCCCGCCTCACAGAAACCACCGAATCTCGCCTACGCGACGAGACCAAAAAGGATGAACACCTCTCCAAGTTAATGGCCACAATCGCCCAAGGCTGGCCGGATGACAGAAAGCAGCTACCACAACCACTACGAGCATACTGGACCTACAGAGACGAGCTAACCACTGACAATGGCCTCATCTACAAAGGCGCCCAAGTTATGATACCGCAGTCCATGCAAGCTGAGATGCTGCTGAAAATCCATGCAAACCACTTTGGTCCTGAATCAAATGTACGCAAGGCACGAGACGTACTATTCTGGCCCGGGATGAGACAAGCAGTGTTTGATATGTGCAACAACTGCAGTACCTGCGCACAGTATGGATCAAAGTCAACAAAGGAACCTATGCGATCACTTCCGATTCCAACACTACCATGGCAGATCATCAGCCAAGACATCTTCCAGTACAGAAAGAAAGCCTACCTTGTAACAGTGTGCCATTTTTCTGACTGGATCGAAGTGGATGAACTTGACGACACTTTGGCAACATCAGTCATTAACAAAACCAAAGCTCATTTCGCCAGGTTTGGCGTTCCACGTATCTGCCACACAGACAACGGACCACAATTCACCAGTAAGGATTACATGGACTTTGCCTCTCAGTACGGGTTCAAACATACCACCTCAAGTCCCTATCACTCCCAGGGCAACGGCCGAGCCGAGGCAGCAGTGAAAGTATCGAAGTCTATGCTAAAGAAATCAGATGACTTCCAAATCGCCTTGCTCAATTACAGAAACACACCACCAAAAGACCACACCTACTCTCCTGCCCAATGCATGGTGAGCCGCCGGACACGAACGACGCTCCCAACAGCTGACCACCTTCTCGAGCCCATGTCAATCAACCATGACACTGTATCAGCAGAACTCAAGGCCAAACGCAACACCAGTAAAGCTCACTATGACAAGACTGCGGGCCCAGAGCAGAATAGCATCAACATTGGTGAATTTGTGTATGCACGACCACCGACAAGCAAACCAGGCAACCCTTGGGCATATGGCCGTGTCACCGGACAACGCCACTCAAGATCTTACACCATACAAACGCCCCACAGTACCATTCGACGAAATCGGATACACATCAGGCATGCAGTACCTCCTCCTCCCCAAACACCACCGTGCACCCCACCCACGCTCACGCCTAGACCAGGCCACAGCCTTGCAAATCACTACAATCGTCTAGGATCAGAGCTGAATATGCCCACTAATCAGCCTACACAGCAACCACCTCCCTCATTGGACAAAAGTAACAGCGGCCCAGTTCTCGACACCCCTTCCCCTCCACAACCACAAGAACCAAGCACACCAGCCACGGGCCCAAGTGAGCTGCCTATCGACACACCCCTTGCTACAATTCAAGAACAGCCAAGGGATCACCAACCCGAAATGAGAACACGCACAAGACTCATCAAACCACCAACTCGGTTCAAAGACTTTGAACTCAAGTAATGCCTGCCATAAACGTTCGCGCTGCATAACAGCACGGTTTGCAGAACTTTCCATGATAACAGTCCGAACAGAACCTTATATAAGGCTACACCTGCCTACTTTACTCTGTTCTATTTACTATTGATTTTTTTTTTCTTTTTTTTCAAAGAAGGGGGGATGTTGGCCCGTCACTTGTACCTAGGCCCTCCCTGAGGGAAACTACATCCGGGCTCCCCAATTGTTGTTGTTGTTGTAACACGAAGTGCTCGTGGTCAAGCTCGGGAATAAAGACTGTGTTCATTGAGCCCTCGATATTGTTTGAGTCGTCTGTACTGCCTGACAGAAACAAAGGCTTGCAGTTCTTGTTTATGCATATATTGGAGTAAGGCTGCATGAATCTGTTTCTTTGTTTAGTCGGATTGATATTACAGCTGAGCAGCTCTTGGAGCCTAGAGTAAAATGTCAACAGTACTTCAGGGCAAATGCTTTGCTTCTCCCCTCTATGGTCACACCAACTGTTTGGACACTCGGGCATGTCGTCCCTCAGCATGCGGAACACCTGTTCCAGAAATATCACCAGGGACTAGGTACAGTGACAATGGAGGGGAGAGAAGCAAAGCATATTGTCCTCAAGAAACTGCCAGAGAAAAGTTCGTCTAAAAACCAATGGTTTGATATCTTTCAGCATGAGTTTGTAATGCTCATTTGGTTACCAGAAAATGGGTTTACCACATGTCAATACAAAGCTAGTAAAGCTGTTTACATTCCAAAGAGGGATAACAGCTATTGTTCTTGTGGGTTACAAAAGGTCCAAATTGAAGATGACAAGTGTTGCATTTGTGGTGACAGGCTGACAAATCTTATTGAACAAAGCATCCAAATGGGGAAATGTCACCCACAGCTAAGACTGTGATGCTAAAGTTTCCTTACTTTAAACCTACAGTATTATGGCAACTGTCAGTGTGTGTTTACTGATTAACTTGTAATATTAGCAATACAATCAAAGATGTGAGCAGATACTTTGAACAACATTTGCAATTTGCTTATCAATAGCATACATTTCTGTTACATCAACAACGTTACATTAAAGTTTGTTACCTTATACTTTGAACAACATTTGTAATTTGCTTATCAATAGCATACATTTACGGTTCCTTTCTGGTTTTCTTAAGCAATGTGCTTGTAATTTCAAAAAGAATAAAAAAAATTGATATAAGCTTGTCTGTTTCTTTAATTACAATGCAGGTACTGTTAGCAGGGTTTCTTAATCATATGCAACTAGCTCAAACATTTAACCAAACAACTCCTACTTTTCATGAATTTTAAAACAAATGTACCATATTTGAATAACCAAGTACTAGAAAATTGTGGTTGCTTGCATGCTGCTGCCTGGAAGATTCATCTATTTATTACATCCATTTTGAAATCACTGAGATCCTCGCAATATTATCTGATTGGCTCTCAGCAGTGCCATTTTTTTCAACAAAATTGTTGCACTATTTTTGCTATTAATTGCGTCTTTTTTTTTCAGCCAATGAGAAAGGAAGCCATTATAATGCAATAAACTGGAAATTGAAGTTTGTGTCAGGCAGTTTTGTTCCGAAATCATACTTGTGATTTCAAATAAACATGCACTGCATGCTCGTTCAATTTTGAAATCACAGGTATGACTTCATACCACATTGCACTCCACCCAGTTCAATTACCATTATACTGACTCATTTGAAAAGCAAACAAAAAACTGAATACATTATTTAAAATGTACAAATGCAAATGCACCTTCAATGTAAACCCAGGGGGAGGGGAAGATTGCCAGTGCTTTCGTGACATTGTCTGAAACCATCAGTCTGTCAAAGAGCAACCTCGCTGGTAAAAAGTAGTTAATTTTTTCTATTCTAAAATAATCATCATGGTCAGCATGTCTTCAAATAGCATTTTAACCACCCTTGAGTTTAACATTGGCAGGTCAGGAGGTGCACATCCTCGGTGACCCAGGAGCAGTTAGTCTGGGCAAAACAAAGTAAACCAGGCAGAAATCATAGGGACGAAATCTTTTTTCTGAAACATTCGAAATGATTTCCCGACTGGTGTAAATTAAAATTAAATTATGGCAGATAAACAAATGCTGTGTAAGAAGACATGAAAGCGACTGTGAAGTAACTGTATGCCGATTGGGCAGAATAATACAAAGGATTTTTTTCTGCTCAATCAGGAGCCAGCATTCCCAGAGCCATTTGGAGACTAACTGCCCCTAGGTCTCCGAGGATGGCAGGTACATAGTAAGGGTCCTTTGGTGTTACATTGTCCTAATAAAAATAAAACTAACTCTCAAAAGTAAAACCAAACTCGTTTGTGAAAGTGTAATGACACTCCACAATAACTTTTGATGACCTTCGCTCATACTGGATGGAAAAAGGCTTCTCCTTGTTGCAAATAACATTTGCGCTCCCTCTCCTCTTTCCTTGAAAATTTCGGTTGAAGAATTCTGACAATGTTTCTCGAGTTATTTGCCCCAAGCCTGTCAAGTCTCTGGTTAGACGTTTCTTCTCTGTATATTGAATGGAAATGTTTTTTCTTGTTTCTGTACAGGACACGCCAAATGCACTTGGAGCTTTCTGTACAGCTTTTAAAATTAAACGGAACACTTGACTGGGGATATCTCGTTGGAACTCTATCGTCCAAGCATTATGCGCTTTCATTCGTGGACTCGACCTCTATTTTATGACAGAAATCCAATGCTGTATTTCCTCAACAGGATTTCTCGTGCTGGGATTTTGGAGCAAAGAGCCTCTTGAATTGACCCGGTATTAACCCAATGCTTCTCAACCAGCATTTGTAGTAAATTCTTTGCTTCATCTTCGAAGGCGAATCTATTTTGGAAGTTTTCTTCCTTAGATGTAGTGCGAATCGCACGAATCATACTATCGAAATCGTCCGCCATATTGAAATGTTCTTTAGTCGACAACCACAGGACAACGTGTTTTCGCGGGCTCAAAAATGCGCATTTCTCGAGCCAAATGGCCCGGTGTGAAACTGCATTTGCCATGCGATACTTTTAGCAGGAATTCTTGATCTATCGTCATAGATGCTGGGAGGTCCCATTGTCCCATTGATCCAAACCTAAGCATAGAGATATTTTTGCAACAGCAACCCATTCGAAACCTGCCTCGAAAGCTTGAAAAAAAACCTGTGAAAAATGTCTTTTTGTGAAACAAGAGAGATGCTGTTACTAGCGTATGATAGTAAAATAATTTCTGATGAAGAATTCTTGGTCTTGTGGGAGAGCTGCCGTTCCAAGAACCCTGATTTTTCGTACAGTTCGTATGCAAGATCTGATCTTGAAAACATTCATGAAACCGAGTGTTTAGCAGAGTTCAGAGTCCAAAAACAAGACATTCCTGTGCTGGCAAACGTTCTTCAACTACCAATGAACATCCATTGTCCACAAAGAACAATCTGTGATAGAATTGAAGGTTTATGCATGCTACTGAGAAGGTTTTCTTATCCTTGTCGCTATTCAGATATGATCAGCCGATTTGGAAGACCAGTTCCAGAGTTATGCATGATTACAAACGAAGTCATGGACAACATTTTCAACAATCACAGCCACAGAATATCTCAATGGAATGACGATATTTTGAACCCTCATTTGTTACAGGAGTATGCTGATGTCATACATGCAAAAGGCACCCCACTAGAAAATTGTTTTG